TTATTATTATTATTATTAGTTTTATTAGTTGGATTTTAAACAAGTTCAAACATTTCTGCAACGTTTCCTCTCAAAACAGTCTGAGGTGTCTAAAAATCCCTCTCAGATTTAAACTTTATAATTCTACAACCYTTTAGTTGTATGTTGACACCAGGACAGGTAACGTTGAGAAATAATGTGCAGGAGCTAAAATACAGCTCTGCAAATGTGGAAAAAATAGAGTTTTCAAAAAAAATTTGCAGCAAATAGTTTTTATTAAATTCAGTTATATTAAGAGACCATTCAGCTGCACTCAAACACTGCCTCCTTCAGACTAAATGACTTCAGCCAATCASAGCAGAGCGTGAGCGCCTTACTGAAGAGAGGAAAACAATCAGCCGAAAGAGCCGCAGTTCGTTTATTCATCACAGTTTTTAATGGCTAAAAGGAGCCGGCAGCCCAGCAGAGATGGGCTCTGTTCACTTCATGAATAATAATTAGCTTAATAATTGTGTCAGTGCTGACTCAGCATTTTCAGTTTTCCTGATTTTGTTGTTTTTCTGTCTGTTGTTGCAATCTAACTAGTTCAGCAGACTTTCTGCTGTTTTAGCTGTTAGTAATGTTCGGCTCATTAGGGAGCTGGGTGCTAAACTTAAATTTTTTATACTTGATGTTTTCCTCATTGAAACTGTTTTTAACTTCTTAGCTTTTAGCTAAACTGTAACTATTTCTAGCTTCTTGCTACTTTTAGCTTGCATTTTGTTATGCAGCTTTTTGTCATTGTTTGCTTTTAGCTTGTGTTCTGCTTTTATCTTTACCACCGCAGTTAATGTTTTTTTCAACTGATTTCAGCAAATGCAGTTTCACCTGTTCAACCTGCAGGGATTAGATAAGTTAGCCTGATGCTAAGTTAGCTTTTGGTKGAGTTTTAACAGGTTCTGAAGGGCAGATTGGATTTAGCTTGAAGTTAAATATTTCTACCAGGTCAATCTTTGAAAGTGAATTGATGTTTCCAGCTGCTGGTGTTGACTGAGTGAACTGACCTCAATGTTTGACGAGCACCAATAAATGGCTCCATTTGTCCTGCAGTCCTGGATCTCTGTGGTCGTAACCTTTTCACAYTTCAGAAACAAAACTCTTGAGTTATTTTACTCTCAGCTTTTMTCATTTCTACAAAAATACAAAGTATTTTTCCTTCTTCTCTGTGYACTTGTATGACAGTGAATTATCATAATAATATTCCAGTAAAGCGTTGATGTGTGCAGCTAATAAATGATGTCAGACGTGGAACTGATTAATAAAGAGGAGCTTTAGGACCGTGTCCCACTTCAACAGAGTAATTAAAGGTTTCCCACAGACAGACGTGGAGATCCCAGCAGGACTCGTCCGTCACGCTGAGCTGCTTCCTGCAGGCTGATAAACAACAGAACCGCCATGTTTTCTGTTTGTTGTGGGTCAAGCAGAACAAGCAGGTTCTCCGTTCATCATGAAGAGCTTCAACGTTTAAATCCTCTCTTTTGTTTTGTACATTTCAGCTYCCAGCGGCTGTTTTTCTGCTTCTGTTTCTGACTCAGGATTTGGACCTGGACCAGAACACAGACTCGTCTTCTCAGGAAGGTTCTGATTGGACCGCTTTGATACAAAGTTTAGTTTATGCTAAACACATTCTTGTTTTATCTCTAATCTTTCACAATAAAGCAGGAACGATGTTCTAACATCACACTTGTTTTTGTAGAAACTCTGATTGTGTGAAAGTCTTTCCTGTTGGACGTTTTCAAAATCTAGTCTTTGTGTTGTAATTAAAACACTTAATCAATCTGCTAAATAATTAAAATGCTACATGATTAAAGTCAGTGCTGAGTCTTTATGACTATATATATTTTCACTGGTTTAATAAAAAARCTCAAAAATAAAGGATGAAAACAACCTTGTGGGACCAAACTAAACTTTAAAGAAGACTTCAGCTGTAATTGTGTTTAAATCAACAGCTAATGAGCCGAACAAACCCTCACCGTTTAAACCAGGGGAATAAAACCAAACAAGTCTCTGGTGTCTGACTGTAAACAAAGCTGTTGAATTAATATTCGTCTTGAGCTGGAGGTGGGAAACAAACTCCCGKTGATCTCGGAGACTTTTTAGCACGACGGCTGCCTGGAGAATACGTTCTCCAAACCTGGCTTCGCCTCGGAGCYCGGTGCCGTCAGCGAGACGGCTAATTATCTGCTGAGAGTTAACTAATTAGATGAGAAACACAGCAGCTGCCCACACACACTGATTGTGTTAGGTTGTGTTTCAAATAACAGAGCTCAAACACTCATTGACTTCCACTATCAGRCCTCAATTTTAATTCAAAATGAAAGGATCTTTTTAACTGCTTTTGTTTCCTACAAAAAGCTGTGAAACAACAAAAAATATACATATTTTGTAACCAGCAGAGGTGTCACCTATGACGGAGTTTTAGAGCCACACAAGATTTTTTAAAAATTATTGTTACGACAATAAAGTCATAATTTTACGAGATTAAAGTTGTACTTTTACGAGACTGAAGTCATATTATGAGAAAAAATGTCATTATGAAAAAATTCATAATCTTACATGACGTGTCCATTTTCCGTTCCTCATTTCCTCATTTCCACACACCTGCTGTATACAGCCACGTGTCTGTGTTTAGAAAGTAGTCCACGATCACTTGGGTCACTGTTAGATTAATATGCCTTCCTCCAAATTAGATACATGATGATTAAATCTGTCAGCTTCAGTTYATCATRTAATCATTTGCACAATTTCCAAGTCYWGCTACTGATAATGKGATGCTAATGTGCTAAAAGATTAACTATTTATTTATAGCAACACTGAAGAACAAGTTGCTCAACAATCCTCTTTTTAATGCAGTAGTAACTGCATGCTTTTTTGTGTAAAGGGTATATTACAACTTTTGATTTTATTCTCGTAATATTATGACTTTAATTTCATAATGTTATGACTTTATTCTCGTAATTTAAAAAAGAAAAAAATCTTGTGTGACCCTAATACTCCGTTATAGTCACCAGCTTAAAGATCAGGATTTTTTTCGTAAAACATTCAGTTTTTTACAGAGACTGCTTGAAGCTCATGTTTTCATTTCCGCCTCTCTAATA